GGCCAAGTTACAAGTCAGGTTTACGGAAAGGAGGAGCAGCTAACAATAAGAGTGCATGTTTTTGAGCAGTAAATCAATAATTTAATAAATATAAGTTTGATGCCATAATGTGAAACATTCTAGAAACAAAGTCATACCATATCATGAACAAATGAAGCAGGGCCCATCCGCCACACAAGTTACCCAGTGCAGCTTTAAGTGATTGCAGAATATATACTGGGTTTTTGTATTTTTTGTTTAGTTTCATCTTAAATTCAAAGGACAAATTCAGCATAAAGACTGTCATTTTTTATTTACAAACAAATGAACTGTATAGCGGTCCATAATACAGTGGATTAATGCACTCTCATAGAATGGGAGTAGTCATATTCTTGGTCCCATATGCTCTGGCACTGTATATGAGAGTCTAATATGACTGCTTGGGCTAGGGCACAAGCTGGCTATCTAAGCCAGTCTCTTCACAGAAAGAGCTCAAATTAATCAGTGGGCTTGTTGTCTGTGTGGTCGGGATCATAGGGTTTTTGGTGCATGCGGAGGCCAGCATAAGAAGCTTTGGGTGGTTTTCATTAAAAGGATCTGTGACATGTACCTGCCCTCTCAAATGGCAGGCAATTTAGAGCTCACAGCCACGCAAAGTATTCACACAAGTATGGATATGGATGTTTGTTCTTGAACTTTTGATACTGTATTCAGATTTAGCTAGTAAAATCTAATGAATATGAACAAAGAAGCCATATAAGTCCTAAAGGCCCCATATTATGCTATTTTCTGATCTACATTATAATGTTTCCTCAACAAAAAAATGCCCAGAGCTTTATACTGTTTCATTCACACATGTTTAACACACAAACCCTATATATTTAGGTTGTGTTATTTTCTCATACAGAAAACACTTTGTTCCACCTTGTGAGGTCATGTGGTAATGGTGGTTTCAGCCCTAGAATTGCCTCTCTACTGAATGACATCACAAGGTGGAACAGGGCATTTTGAGCTTTGGAGATGTAGACAGATCAATAATAAAGAATTACTCAAACAAAACACAACTCGAGGTATGTTTTTGAGGAGGTAATAACAGGCTAACATGTTTTAAAGCATCTTAAAGAGACAGTCCGGAATTTTGGACATAGGCCTCATTTCCTATTGAGCGAGAGTGCTGGAGACATGTGGAGACACTTTTTAAAATATTCCATCCAGTCCTCGTGTTTGCAGAGGTCGCTGGTGCTAGGCTAGTGCATGTCAATGGCCATAGTTATCCTGCCACTAAAACTGGATGGAATATTTTAAAAAAGAGTCTCCACACAATTCTGAACTGTCCCTTTAAAGAGTCAATTCTGTGGACCTTATAGGACCTTTAATAATTATTGGGTATAAAGTTTGCGTTCATAGAAATTATTTTATGATATTGCATCTACTTATTATATATTATATATTATATTCAATTTCTATCATTTGAAATTAGATGAGCCAACCCAGCCCTGTTGTATTCTCACATATCACCACGAGATGCTGTCTGTGTTACTGCAGTCTGGTGCCAGATGAAGGTCAGAGAGCACAGGTGAGCATGAACAAAGGTCAGGTGAGGAGAGGAGACAGGTTTCACATTTGCCATCTACTGGTGAAAGTTTTACCAAATTGGCAGTACCCAGTGCCACAGTGGAGCTGGACAGCAGTTAAATGATCATTGTAAAACTTTTCTGGTGCAGGGTCCACTACCTGTTTGTCTCCATGGAGATGTTATTGCTTTGCCTGGTATGTTCCATGATGTGACATTAAGCATATTCATCTAGTACTTATTTAACACTGGTGTTTCTATTGTCCAAAAATACTGTAATTCCTTCTGTGAATAGGGGTGCCTCTCCACAGATCTGACTTGTAACGTAGTGTAGTGCTGTAACCTGTGTGTCTCCCTTGTGATGGGTTTAATCTATACTGTGGAACATTCCGATGAAGCAATAACATTTCCATGGAAACAAGCAGGTGACCCTACACTAGAAATGTTACTCAGTGCACCTTTAATTTGTAAAAAGCAATATTGAAGTTGATATTATATTGTTATTGCACAGATATAGATTTGGTCTTATATTACTATGCCATGTGTAAATTAACTAATTTAGCTCAAGAAAAAGTGGTTTTGTAAAGGGTAAAGCTAATGTAATCCTATTTGAGTCCTGTAAGTATTGTGAAATAACACTAGTATAATGCATCCGCTTGATTCAATATCGCCTACTACTAGGCATGGAGCATCATTGTAATGTTTTGCCATCCCTCACAAAAAGGGAAACCAGTGGCGAAAGGCGAAAGTACCCCAAAAGTACTGGAGTAAACATCTTGCGTAAAAATAATTATTTTTTACCTTTCCACAAATAGCCTACAACTCGTACACCATCTCGCTCCGTTGTCTATTTACCTCCGAAATCAAATGCCTCTAGACACAACTCACTTTCCAATTTCTGGGGCAGCTTGGAAGTGTGCATTCATTTTCCTGTTGTCATTATCCGCGCGCCTCGTACCGGTGCGCTCCCGTGGCTCCGAGTACGGGCCCGCTCCTCGCTGTGCCGGTCAGCTGGACATGCCACTCTATTTTCATACACTTCTCATTTCCCATTTCTAAACCTTTATTGGAGCTTAAAAGCCAAAGCAGCTCAGATCGTGCCCGCGTAAATCTGCAGTCCCATTAATCCACGCCGGTGTCATGTCTTGCACCGAAGAGCCCGAGCTCGTGTGGCAAGAAATGAATGATAAAATAGGCCTATTCTGAGCGGGCGCATTCACGGGCCATATTGGATGCTGGAATCGGGGTGCTGTTTGGAGCGTTAGAACTTGATCATTCTTAAATGCAGAGGATATGAAGGAGGAATCATTGCTGGAGACGACATTAACTCAAGTCCGTCTCGTTAAGTGCTCATTTTGCGCTTGTTTTTTGTTGGAATATTGGACATTACCTACTAAATTTAGATGGTATGTTTATGTGTTTGCATTGCATGTTCAACATTGATCACAACAGCTACATTTTAGCCTAATTTAATGGCCCTATATTACGCAAAATTGACTAGAATGTTGCTGACTTACCAAAAACATACCTGGAGTTATGTTGTATTTCATTCGTACATGTTTGAGCAATCTTTTGTTATTAGTTTCTCTACATCTCCAAAACTCTGTTCCACCTTCTGATGTCATAAAGCAGTGGTTTTCAAATGAACAGCTACATTTTACCTTTGGTTTAGTAGAGATTCGCAGTTCTAGGGTTGAAATCATCCAGATGATTCTAGTGAAGGTGTATGAGGTTTAAAAACACAGTGGAGCACTTCCTGTATTAGCACATGACATCACAAGGTGGAACAGGTTTTTTTCAGTTTGAGAGAAGAACTAAGCCTAAATATGCGGGCTTTGTGTGCTAAACATGTGTGAATGAAACAAAACAAAACTTTTTAATGAGGAAACAACATTATAATATAGATCAGAAAATAGCGTAACATGGGCCCTTTAAACGGCTTCACATTCTACATTATTTGAGCCGTTTTCTCTGCTCCAAATTCACGAGGATGCTTTCTTTTCTCATGATATGGGAGATTCAATATTATATTAACTTTGAGATTGAGAACATGCTAAAAGGAGAGAGTATAAAATCACAGGGTCAGATGAAGAGATGAGGTGGCTGCATGGTTTTGCTGCTGCGGTGCATCTGAAGTGAATCTTGAATCAAGTTGATTAAAAAAAATCTGGATTGACCTTTTCCATGTTCTTTAGTTGTAAAAAGCATGTTATGAAAAAGCAACGCATGAGTTTATTTCAACATGATTATCTAAGGATGACCCCTTCATACAAGTAAACATTGTTTTTCTCTTTTCTTAAGAAGATTTCCCCTCCTGTTCATTATGAGCTATTCTTTCTCCTTTTAATTTGGAGACTATATTATATCTAATCCTCTGGGCTTGATTTAATTTTGCTTGTTGCTGATCTCAGGCCGTTCAGTCAATCTCCTTCTGGATGGCAACATCAACTCTCAAGATGACAGCAAGCAGTAATCCGCAGACCTAATCTGCCTTCCTGAAGAAAAATGGTGCAAAGGGAGGGGCCCTCACAAATATGTATTTCACAGTCTGTTCAACTACCCATCTCCCAGTGGTCAGTGGAGACTCAGAGCCTCAGCACGTCTGCCCTGTAACATATACCAAACAACGTTTTATTTATTTATTTAATTTATAATTACAAATATGATGAACAGCAAGCCATACCGGCTTGTCAAAGCCTGAACCCATCAGATCTCAGAAGCTAAGCAGGCTGGGCCTGGGTAGTACTTGGATGGGAGACCACTGGGAATTCCAGGTCGTTGTGTCCTTAGGCAAGACACTTCACCCACATTGCCTAGTATGAAAGTGGTGTGGGCATGAATGATAGTGGTGGTCGGAGGGGCTGATGGTGCAGATTGGTAGACAAGCTTCTGTCAGTCTGCCCCAGGGCAACTGTGACTACAGTAGTAGCTTACCACACCTGAGTGTTGAGTAAATGAATAATGAACTGTAAAGCACTTTGGGTATTTTGAAAGGCACTATATAAATGCAATGATTTATTAATTATTATAATGTTGTTGTAATCCCTCATACATCCATTATCATATAACTGACATTTCAAAGGCTGTATTATAAGTTTTTAAATTTTGTCTGGATTGCTTGGTTTCTGGCTCACACAAATTTCTGTCACTCTTCACTCTTCTATCCAATTTCCTGCTTACACATGTTTAATAAACTTATGATCCTACAAGAATATATTAATGAAACAAAATGAAAAATGACAGAGTCGTCTTATATTATTATTGGTTTTATTGTTCTTGGCCTCGGCGGGTGACAGAAGGCAGAAGCATGGTGAACCCATCAGTCACGTACACATGTAGCAACAATACCTGGACATGCAGTACGGCTCACAGCTCTAAATACAGAAGAACCACATAGACTGCCCCCCTCCCCCCAACCTCCACACCCACCCCATACACAGATGTGGACTGTACACCAGGGCTACGGGCAGCTGGAGGCAAATTAGGGATGCACTGATCCAGGTTTCTCAGTTCCAATACGATACTAGGCTTTTAAGTTCTGCTGATATCTAAAAATGGCATTAATTTCTCTCAAAATATAGTTCACTTCTTATTAAATTGATCTGAAAAATCTAAAATTCAAACATCTTGACATGTCCTGGGCTGGATACTGCAAATTTTCCTGGATCAATACCAGTCTCAGTATTGGTGCATCCCTAAGGCAAATCACCCCATCCAAGGAAAACTACACGTGGAAACCAAATAAAGGGTGAAGGCAGAGTTTTGGCAGTGATTACTTGAGAATCTTATGGAAGAACTTGCACAAAGCGGCATTGGAGAGGATACATGTTCCCCTGCTGTCCTGCCTACACTACTGCAGTCATGTTGGGGATGGAATGGAAGGAGTCTGCTACAAATGTTATATCAATGCCCTGATTTGATTTTCAATGACTGAAATATCCACTGCTCATTAAAAAAAACAGGACAGTTGACATCTGGTAATATTGTTGTAACAGTGATACAGTGGAGTCCATTCACTGTAGTAATTTAGGAATGTTAGAAGTATTAGAAGTTTGTGCAGGAGAAAATACATCAGACAAAATGTGTTTCTGTCATGACTTCAAACTGGAATTGTCAGTAAGCTTAGGTTGCAGGTCAAATATTATTATTCCTATTTACAGTTAAAGGTGCGCTATGTGACATTTCCTTTGGATGGTCTGCCACCTGCTTGTCTCCATGGAGATATTGCTTTGCTAGGAATGTTCCACCGAATGGCATTCAACTTTATCTATACCCAAGCAGTTCACAGTGATAAAGCATGTTTTCTATGTAGTTTTTAGCAACAAACACACCAGTAAGATATAGTGTATGTTAAATGCCATACGGTGGAACATTTCAGACAATGTAATAACATCTCCATAGTGACAAGCTGGTGGCAGACCTCCCACCAGAAAAGTTATAAAGTATATGGGTCATTCCACCTCAACTCACCCCCAAAAAATGCAATTTGAATGCTCACATTGTCCAGTTGCAAAGAAAATTGTTGTATGGATAAGTTATAGCCAAGAAAACCAAAATCTCAAATTTTAGCATGATCAGAGTAACGGTTTCCAAGATATCACAATAAATTTTTTTCAATTTTATGCATGGTCCCCGAATTTCAAATTGCACTTACTCAGCCACTACTGGTCTGATATCAAAAAACAAGATATCTCTGGAAAGGGGAAATCATAAGAATCCAAATCTGGCATTATTATTTTTGCATTTGAGTACTTTTGAGATGAATTCCTTTTTGACCTGTACTCTGACCTTGAAATTAACAATAAGGGATACGCCCGACCTCAATGACACCAATAGAAAAAATGTAGCCCTATATGTCTACTACAACCTATAAAAACATCTTTTTATTGATTTGGATTCCTTATGATGTTTCCTTTCCAGAGATATCTTGGTTTTTGATGTCGGAGCAGTAGTTGCTGAGTAAATGCAATTTGACATTTGGCAAAAAGTGAAAAAAATGAAATTGCAGTATCTTGGAAACCATTGGTCCGATCAAACAAAAATTTCACGTTCACATTTCATCAAAATTTGACAAAGTGAGGTTGGGTGAACTGAGATGGACTGACCCATATGTTAATTTTACAATAGTCTGTAATTAGGTATTATGTATCTGGTAGAGACAGAAACATATTTGACAATGTGCTACATAAGAGAGAAAAAAGCCCCGTACATGGCTATTGCAGTAGTGAAATTGAAGTAATCTGGAAAAAACTCATAGTGCAATTTCATCTTGGCTATCTAGAGAAAGTGGCCATGCTTAAAGACTAATGCTAGGCTACTTCTTATCATTTCAAAATAATAATCTTTGAACATTTGTGCAAACCATATAAGACCATAGATTACCTTTTTCTCATTAAATACAGGGGACTACTAGCTAACATTACACTGAATCTACAAACACAACCAGCCAAGGAATTGTGCTCAGGGCCACTCCAACAGTTCCAAGATTCAATACACCACAAATATTTGTCTAATAAAAAAATATCGGTAACACTTAATAATAACTACACTTTAACTAGCCTTAATAAAGCATGGACATAGACTTAATTCATGATGAACACATAGTTTATGAATGATTCAGACTATTTGATTATGCTTTTTAAAGGTGCACTGGGTAACTTTTCTGGTGGTGTGTCCGTCACCTGCTTGTCTCCTTGGAGATGTTACTGCTTTGCCTTGATTTCACAGTATCGAAATAAACTGGTTATCACAATGGAGACAAGTTAATGCTCAGATATATGGAGAAACAAGCCTGCACATAGTCAGAATGAATGATTTTCAAGGTATTTTTTTTTTTTTTGAGCTACCTGTAATTGAATAAACACATGGCAAATCGTTTTAATGTCATACTGTGGAACATTCCATGCAAAGAAACAGCATCTACATGGAGACAATCAAGTATTACGAGTCACATAGTGCACCTTTAAGGCTAATTAAGGTGTAGTTTATTATATTTTGATACCAAAATATCATAAACATTGCGTCTTGATCATACATTTGTTATTATTAGAAGACAGAATCAGGGATAAACAGAACACGCTCTTTATATGGCCGATAACCGACTTAACTTTCGATAAAATGTTAATATATCAATTTTTATCTATTAATTTGTGCATTTAAAGTTTGGAGAACCAATCACGATCCACCTTGTTCTCATCAAATCCTTTTCGAAGCTACCATGTCCAGCTAATCGGATGTATTCCAATGTGTAACGCAGACATACATTATAGACAGCAGTAACCTTTTTAATATTGAAGTATTGATATTGCTTATTGAGCTGAGATTCACGGTCCCATTAACAGTTGACTCCATTGTCTTATATATTATTATTATTATGGTGTAACATCAGACTTTGGTTATTTTTGGATACATGCTGAATATAAAACATTGTGTTTTTGGAGGTAAACGATTATCTGGTTTATATTTCATTTATTACATGGTATTGGTATTATTAAAGGAAGATAAGCAGTGTTTAAAAGAGGCTATATTACGGTTTGATTTAATTTTTAATCAGTGTTGGAGAACAAGTAGATAATGCCATAAATCATTGCAATTATATGTCACTGAAATGAAAACACAACAAAACAAAAATCTTACAAGTACTGGATTATTAAAATATAAATACTGGCATGTATACGGATATGTTTAAGCGGGTAGAAACTACAGAAAGTCTATTGCATAATATAGCCCCTTTTATCATTAACAGAAAAAAAACAGCCCACTGTGCCAATGTATATACCATTACAGAATACACAGATTGGACACACTACATGTTTTAAATACAAATTATTAGATCAGAGGATTATGTCATATTTTTCTGTGTAGGAGCTGACATACACAATTTTCAACATTGGAAGATGGCAGTCTCTTCTCTCTCAGACCTTTTGGCCACGAGACATTATTGAACCTGTGTGTTGGTGATCTGAGGAAAAATATGCTACTTTGCATATACAAGTAAACCCAAGTGAATTCAGTGTAGTAATGACTGTGAATGCATGAAGGCATCTGACCACATTTTTATTAGATCGTCCAAACTCTAAGTGGAAATGAGGAAACTGTCACCAAGTATGTAAAAAGTGACAGCTCTGACAGTGTTGCCACTCTTTATTTAGACAGTAAGAATATTTTATTGATGTAGATTTTTGTTAAATCTAGAATGACATATTTTCTCACCTGGGTAACCTGCTGTATATTATCACATGTACTTTCTGATACCGAAACTACAAAAATGACATCAAAATTTCTTCTTGGCTATTAAAATTCTGGGGATACAGAAAAAAAAAAAAAAAAAGTCTGACGAACAAAGGATCAATCAATGACGTGAGGACTTTTGAAGTTGGTGTTGCTAGGCGCTCAGGTACCGATCTGTGGACACTGGTTTTTCATTCTAATCTTCTTCGTCGCTGTCCTTCATAGAAATCCCCTGCATTCCTCCTTCTCTCACCGAGGCTGTGGCTTCTTCTAGTGTGAGACGGTTCCTCACGGTTTCGTACATCTTACTGTTGAGAGTGGAGTCCAGCACACCTTGCAGCCGAAAGTCACGGTACTTCTTCTGAATATGTGTGAGAAGACAAAGACTTCAGATATCAGTTTCAGTTTAAAGGTCCTATATTACACAAAATTTACTCTTGTGAGCTTTAAGCCATGTTATAATGTTATAATGTTGTTACCTCCTCAAAGACATACCTGCAGTTGTATTTTGTTTCATTCACACATGCTTGAGTTGCTTTGTCTACATCTCCAAAGCTCAAATGCTCTGTTCCACCTTGATGTAGTGGTAGTTATCAAGATATCTTTTACCTTTTGCCCAGTAGAGATCTGCTAGCCAGGCTGGCGCCACCTAGTGCCTCCTCTCAATTTCATTTCTCTTCAGCGACTAGGTCAAGAATCGGAATACACTAGATGGTTTGCAAGAACCCCGGAAGTGCGAGCTAATCAGCAAAGAGTCATACATTCTGTGTTGGTAACAATTCCCGAGATCGAGGATTTAAAGCCGGAAAAAGACAACGTTTGGTGAATTTTATCAAGGGGAAAGACGTTATTGTCCTTCTTCCAACGGGATTTGGGAAAAGCTTAATATACCAGTTAGCCCCTTTAGCGGTGCATTACATACGTCACAACCAAATAGCAGCGATTGGTTAAATGAAAAAAGTACCCGCCGACCGTCGAGGAGCGACTTCTAACATTGCGGGGTCAGACAGTTTCCACAAAGTGAAACCAGCTGATAAATCAGACATCTGCAATTCCTGGGCATAAATCATCCAAATTATTCTAGTGAAGGTGTGTGGAGTTTAAAAACATAGTGGAGTCGTGTATTACCAGACTAGAGTGTTTTAGGTTTGAGAGAACTCATGGATGCAGGTTTTCTGTGTTAAGCATATGTGAATGAAACAAACTATTTGAATAATTTCTTGGATCACTAATTAGTACTTCTACGAGAAATTATTTTGAAGTTGCGTTACTCTTACTTGAGTACAATTGTGGCTCCTCTGCCCACTTCTGACTATCTGTATTGAATTATTTAACATATGAGAATAAAGGTCGATAGAGAACAGTCAGTGTGTATCATGGGGGACACATGCCATTCTACAGTTGTACGGAGGAAATATGACTTAATTATGACCTAATTCACCCACTCTATTATATTATTATATTTTAGGTGATGGACAGATGGAGGCGTCACATAAGTTGACATAATTTGTAGGTTTGCGCATTCTCCCAAAAGGAAGTATCCAATTAAGATCAGTTGCATGCATGACAATATGTCTGTACGCACACATGTCCAAACAGTTGCGCAAGCGCCAAATGATGAGCTTTTTGTCGAAACAGATGGTCGTGCTGTGTAATATGTAGATGATGTAATTTCTTTAAAAGCCATATATAGTGATTTGTGAATTTTGCACATGCACAGTGGTTGTTCTAGAGCATGCTAGGGTTGGGCGGTAATACGGTCTTACGGTATGTCACGGTATCAAAAAGTAGCAAAGGTATCAGGTTCATTACCTCATTAAAAAAATCTGCAGCGCATAAGGACCTAATATAATAATTTAATTTATTGATACCTAAATTTGTTTGCTCAGCACAAATTAATGTGTGGTTGTATTTTCAATTTAATGCTATCACGATTTAAATCTAATAGTATGTTTCTTTTAACTGCATGGGGAGATGATGTTCGATTAGTTTTCTTCTGTTGTCACGTGACGCTCATAAGAGAGACCAAGACAAGATGGCAAGTCTGGCCGCAAGCGAGTTGGTCCCCCCCCCAAAAAATTGGCAACATTTTGGCTTCAGGTGCACATTTGTTTACGTTTTATGGAAATGAAACTTAAAACCACATGACTCATTTGCATAAACTATAAAGCGCTGATAAAAACAGTTCTTTCCTCGTGCACTGACGCGATTCAGCTTCTGTCGGACTAACGGACACGACTCAGTGGACTGTATTTGTTCTTTCAGTGACAGAGGATGTGCGGCTGACGGTGAGTCTATTCTGTGCATGTATTGCGTTGGAGATGGTTCATGTGAAACATTTCAGAGATTATAAGTCTGCGCATAGACTGTATAGTGGTGCGGCTTCATAGTTTATCAAAGTCGTCTGGTAAATTATATGGTAATACCGTATACCACGGTAAAATCCTGAGAAGGTTTAACAGTATCAAAATTTGGCTACCACCCAATCCTACAGCATGCCCATGATACACAAGCAGTGCAGAGGACAGAGGGGGACAAAGGAGTCTGTTGTTTTGGGCCCCAAGGTTTAGGGGCCCAGAACTGGACCCTCTTCCTATTAATTTATATAAGAGGGGGGCCCATGTTACACTTCTTGCCCTGAACCCCTGAATTTCTGTTGACAGGCCTGTAAACAAATATTAGTAATTCAAAGGAATGTTCAGTTTAGTTTATTTGAAAGTGCTAGCCTGGTGACACAGGAGTTACAGCTTCAGCCTGACTGCAAGAAGGTCCTGGGTTCGACTCCCAGCAGCGTGTTGCCTTTCTTTTTATTTCTTTTTATTTAACCAGGAAAGTCCCACTGAGATTTAAAGATGAAGGCCAAGAGGTATCACCACACACCACACAGACAACATTTCATATAAATCTAACAGTTATAAAAAGTTAGAAACAGTGACAGGTCAATGATTCCATTTCCAGCTCTGTGTGAAGTGCATGTGTTCCCTGTGAAGGTTTTCTCTGGGTGCTCCAGTTTCCCCTATTAGACTGCACATCTCAGTGGGACTTGACTGGTTTTCTAAGAATAATAAAGGACTTCTCTCATAGCACTTTTCACATTATTCGAAGTGTGGCTGCTGATCTGTACAAACTTCACTTCAAGTAAAAAAAGACCTCACCTTTACAATTCGGATAAGAATCTTGAGTTGGTAGACATGGAGTTGCAAGTCCATTCTGTCAGTCAGCCATGTTCCAATGAGATTCATTGTGCTGGTGTACCATTGCTACAAGACATAAGAACACACATTTGGGGTTATAATTTAATTTGTTAAAATTTAAAAGGCCAAAATGCTCATGAAGTTTTAGTCTAAGTAGGTAGCCAATGTGGAGGTGTTCACTGGTCGCTGGGAGCTAGCATTTGCAAGAAAGAAGAAAAAAAATCAAAGCACTGTTGATTTCTGAGCTAACATATAAAAACATACAAAAACATGTAGCCTTCTTTAAGATGTGAAAGAAATAGAAAACATGCTTTTAGTTAATAAAGTTAAATAAAGCCTTTTAAAACATGTTATACATGTGCTGTGGCTTCAACTTTTTCTGGTAAATTATACTATTCCACCTTCAAAGACATTCAAAGCTCTTTACATCAAGGAACCACTCATCTATTCACTCACACACGCACGCACGCACGCACGCACACACATACACCAATGTACGCGGGACACTGAGCAACAGATGCCCCCATACATTCAAGTTTATGTTTGGAAGAAAAAGTTGGTACTACACTTCCAAGCAAGGTACACAAGGGTTAACACACAGTGCACTATCAAAGCTTATCTTTCATAAAATTTTTACTTTAGACTTCATTGCAGTCGTGTGCTGACTTGGAAGATAACAGTTAGTAGGTCTAACTTAACCATAACCAGTGGTGGAAGAGGGACTCAAATTTGTTACTTAAGTAGAAGCACAGATACTGAAGCAAAATATCCTCAAGTAAAGGTAAAAGCATCACGTTAAAAAAAAGTATTAAAGTAACTGTAAAATGTACTTTGCAGATTTTGAGGTCTTTATTTCTTCAGATGTAGTGATTTTGATACAGATTTGTGCTGAATTGTATATTTTGACATTGACTACCAGAGCGGACATCTCAGAGAATACAGGACAACTTTAAAAACACACAGATCCAAAGTACCTCTCTGTCAATAATGAGTGTTTCAGTGTTCTTAAGTAAGACCTCAAACTTTCCACCCTGTAGTGAGAACATGAACAGAGTGGACATTTGGAAACTGTTAAAATCCTCGTCCTCTCACTCATGAAATAACAGTTAATGAGTTTGAAGGAGTTGAATCATCAGGATAGAGTCTCATTGTGACCTCAGGGCTGTCAGCGGGCTTATGTAAGTGACTGTGATTCAGACAGATACACACTCAGCTTAGAGTCTGACCAGTGTCTGACCAGTGTCCATTATCTCCCACAGGCCTTGAACACACCATGCCATTCACCAGTGCATACAACCTAAAGGTACAAGGCAAGGTGCGTTAAAGAAGAAGAAACTCATTAAAATCACAATGCAAACAAATCAAAACACAAATGAAATTAAAAGAGAAGGGTACAGAATAACAACTACTATACAATATATAACTTTTATGGTGGTTATGTGAGGAAATCTTGAAATTATGGCATTAAACTTATCTATCGCCATGGAAACAAACAGGTGACAATATGCAGGTCATATCTGTATGACACTTGTGAGCTTTAAGCCATGTCAGCATGTTGTTATCTTTTCAAAAACATAGATGGAGATGTGTTTTGTTTCATTCACACGTTTGAATAATCTAGCAGAATTATCTCCAACACTAAAAATGCTCTGTTCCACTTTGTGATGTCATGTAGTGATAGTATCAAGTTATCAACTACCTTTTACCTTTAGTTCTGTAAAGATTGGCAATTCTAGGGCTTAAATTATCCAAATTATTGTAATGTATGTGGATGTATGGAGTTGGAAAACAACGTGAAGCACTTCCTGTATTACCATATCATAAGGTGGAACTGACTGCTTTTATTTCGCGAAAAGAACTCAGCCTAAATCTGCAGGGTAAATGTGTCAATAAATCAAAACAAGTCTGGATATGTTGTTGATGAGGAAGCAACATTATAACACTGATCAGAAAATAGTGTAATATGGGTCCTTTAATGTCAAAGATCATACACGACTGTTTCCCGTATTATAATACATACCAGTGCTTTGAACTACACCACTACGCAGTTGATGGTTAGTGCTGCCCTCTCTGGCCTAGCGTGTGCTGTGGTTGGAGTGCACAAAATGACAGCTCCACGGCGACGGGCCCGAAAGGCTACAGATGTTCCTCCCTGGGCCTGGGCTGGTGCCAGTCTAATTGATAGCTAATGATGCGAGCAGCCTGATACTAATACAAGACGACTGACTTTGAACAGGGGGTCACAGAAGACGAGGGGAGGGGGGTAGAGGGGAGACTGGGGAGAAGGGGGGAACCAGCGTTATGTTTGTTCGGAGCAAATGAGGCCCGCGGCTAATGCTCAATCAGAGTTTATCTGTAACACACAGCAGTTTAGACAGCACAGTTCATAGTAAACAAAGTCATAAAAGATATTATAACTATATTGAATAAGAGATTTGCTTGGGAATATTCTGGAATATTCTGACATCAAGGAAAGGTACAGTAATGACCAAAGAAACATCCTTACACATTTAAGGATGTCATTACTGTTACAATTTTATCAAGTTAATGTATAAAATACTGACTGGGGTGATTGAAGTTACATGCAGTTTTTTGTTGATTCTTGTGTATGTTATTGCCTCTTCTGACAGTATTGCAAAGAAAAATAAAAAAAAATGCATGCCGATCGAAGAAAAAGTGTCCCTCTTGTGTAACTTGTCTAAGTTGAGTGTGTGGAGGAGGAGAGGCTGCTCTGCAGAGGAAGCAGAGCATGTAGGTCAGGCTGAGGGAACATGGCGCTGTGTTGAGGAGCTTTTGGGGCAGTGCCGGGGTGAATCAGATTGGCCCTGGTGCCAGCAGCTTCCTGTGTGTGGCTGTGTGCCTGTGAAGGCTCCAGTGTGGCAGCAGGCCTGTGATCTCGCCCCAGGCACAGCTCCCCGCTGAGAGGCCAGGCCTGGAGTGACTGATCCACTCACTGCTCAGCCTCCAATGGCTTCTGCTGCTTCACTTGTGCTCTTTAGGCTGCTTTAGCTCCCATCTGAGGTCTGTTTGCAGCAGCCACTTTGTGTGCCTTTGCTTTACTCCTGTTCATTTCAGACAAATCACTCTGACAGTTATGTCACAGTCCTCTTGCTGCCACGACTGGCATTTTGGAGCCCTGTCAGGGACATCTTGCCTGTGATTGTCACCAACATTAGGAGCTTTTGGATTGTGGCTTTTAACTAAAGTTGACATTTGAGAATATCTGAAAAATTATTGGATCTTACTTTTGTTATTTACAATGGCATTCATAATTATGAGGACTGTGACTTTTCAGAACTTTTCTTATAAGATATATTTCATTTAATTGAGGACACGTGGTTTTACAAGCACAATTTTATGCATTTTCACCCACCACATTCCCTATCACTACACTATTAAAATGAGTTATATACACAATATGTTTAGCAAAATAGAGCAGGAGGAGGGAATCTGCTCCGACTGCTGCAATAGCGCCATTATTTTGTTTTGCTGGTTCTGGAGAAACATTCTGAGACAAAAGTGAGTCTTCAATTTTTCTATTCAACAGAAATAATTTCCTTACATATAAAGTGATAGCATTTAGTATCATTCACAGACCCACATTATTCCAAATCTATAAGAAATCTATACAATTTTCATTGGGCTATACACATGTCTGTTATGTTGGTTTATTTAAAGTCTTAATAATGTGTAAGCTCTCCTTCCGACAACATGTGCATGGCTGTTCTGCAGAAGGCCCACACTTGGTGCTCGTGGCCTGCCTCCATCTGCAGTTTCCTGGGAAAAGTCCTGAGCCCCACACACAGATGGTCCTCCATCAGGTGCACAGCTGTGTCTAACTGCTGCGTGTGTTTCCTCTACACTTTCTCATCACTCAAACTTCTCCAGAGCTGCCCTCCTCCAGCACCCATGTGTCAGTGCCTCTCTCAACAGACAACTTGTATTTGTGAACTAGGAAATATATTAATTAGGACAAACAAGGAAGAGTCATGGTCAAAATGCCAAAGCTCTTAAAAAATAAAGATCTGGAAAAAAACAAAAATGTAATATTGATATACATTGATACAATAATAATATATGATACAACTGATACAATAACTTAACTACTTAAAGGTGCACTATGTAATTTTTTTTGGTTCGTGGCTCATCATCTTCTTGTTTCTATGTATATGTCATTGCTCTGCTTCGAATAATCCACAATAAGACACAAAACATTAAATTACGGGTGGTTTTATTGCTCAGAAATACCCAGAAAAACAAGCATTGTCAGTGTGAGGGGGCTTACCTCTCCACAGATCTGACCAGTAACTTGGTCTGGTTTGGTCTCCATGATAGAAAGGCTTAATGCCGTACTGTGAAACATTTGAGACAAAGCAAAAACATCTTCATTGAGAAAACATTTGACAGACTCTGCACTAGAAAAGTTACACAATGCACCTTTAAATGCAATTCACAATATAATAAATAATACTTTTTTTAAAAAAAATAATACAGTATACTGGATGCAGAATTATCTAATATCCAATACTTAGAAAAGCCAGTCAGTTCAGTTGATTCTAAGCGCATTTTTCACCTCTTGTGGATTCTCTCTTCTCTCACTGTGCTTTGATGGTTGTTACTTTTGCCCTAACTCTCTCCTCCAAATGGTACTCTTAGCACCATTTCTGGAGCCATCTTTTCACCTTCTCTGACACAACCCAGATCTCCACAGAGCAACTCTATCTCCTCTCAGTAAGCTCCAATTCAAACTCATCATCACTGTATTTACTTGGATAGCAGTGTGTATGGACCCATCCACTTTATAGAATATTTACCGTAGATTTCTTGGCTCTCCGAAAAGAACAGTGACCAGTCCAATGAGTTCACCCCTCTCTTGGCCCGCTAAAGGCAGTCATCAGAACAGACGATTTCACCCGGGCTGCATGGGGATCAGCAGGGGGCTAGCGCTCACTCACAGCCAAAACAAGCGTAATATGGCTCTGCATACATAATCCCCCAACACGACAGGGTTCAAATCTGTGACACTCAAACCATTTCCATCTCCTCTTTCTTGTGCGGGGTTATTT